GTTTCACAAGCTATCTTAACTTTGATCTTATCTTTTTCCCTGTATTTTGGCAATGAAAAAGGCGGACTCTTCCGGGATTTGAACCCCAGACCTCTCACACCCAAAGCGCGAATCATACCCCTAGACCAACAAACCAGCTGAACTCAATTTATGGGATGAATGTCACGGGACCGTGCAAGGTGAACTTTCTGCACCACCAATATCAAGAAGAATCTGAAATATTCCTGTAGTAGTAGTGTATGGTCTACAACAAGACCAACAATCGTCAGTTGTCCTATTTCAGCACACGTTTTAAGCATATTTATTAAAGTATTCTGTCTCATAAAGCTTAGTCCGTTTTAACTCACTTTTTAGCAGTAGTAGAATTGGTATTTACCTTGAGCAAACTTTTATAGAGAACTTCGTTTTTTCCCAAATCACACCTGGTATACCTGTACCACATTGGTGTGCCCGTTAACAACTATCGATTATGCTATGACCATAATATTTTAATTCAGCAACATTGCTTATCCTATGTCTTAAGTCCTTTGTAAAAGACTAAGTTAGACCAGCTACCAGAAGATATTTTTTCCAAGTATATATTCATAGTCATATTTTAATGTCATTCAGTTTTCAGAAGACATAGACATCAAGTTTGAATTTTTTTGTAGGCTTTTAAACACAGCTATAGTGTCGCAAACTAATTGCTACTTTTCTGAAATTAATCTAGGTAATTTGTATTTATGGGCACCTCTGTGACAGGTTTATGCCACCAGATGGCGCCATTAAAATAAGCATCCCAAACTCACTTCATCGATGGTCGTGTGCAACGTGGCCCACAGTCCTACCTATAATTTTTAAGGCTAGTTGGTCTAGGGCAGGGTTCCTCAAATCTTGCCCTGGAGGGCCAATGCGCTGCAGAGTTTAGCTCCAACCCTGATCAAACTCACCTACCTGTGATTTTCTAATGATCCTGAAGACATTGATTAGCATGCTCAGGTGTATTTGATTAGGGTTAGAGCTAAACTCTGCACGAAAGTGGATCTCGTGGGCCAGGTTTGAGGATCCCTGGTCTAGGGCAGGGGTGCCTAACCCTGCTCCTGGCAATCGACTGTCCTGCAAAGTTTAGCTCCAACTCTAATCAAATACACCTGCCTTTAATTTTTAAGTGATCCTGAAGACCTTAATTAGTTGCTTCAGGTGTGTTTGATTAGGGTTGGAGCTGAACTTTGCAGGACAGTCGATCGCCAGGAGCAGGGTTGGCCACCCCTGGTCTAGGGTATGATTCTCGCTTAGGGTGCGATAGGGTCCCGGGTTCAAATCCTGGAAGAGTCTGCTTTTGCATCATTTTATTTAATTTATATTAACCACATAAAGAGAAATATACAATAATTCATGTATCTATCTATTTATCTTAAACTGTTAAGCTTCAACCTTTTAAAAGTATTTTTAAAGCACTTATGAATGAGAAAACCATTGGATGTAATAGTAGACTGGGCAATCACATAATCTAATAATCTAAACCAGGGGTGTCCAAACTCGGTCCTGGAGGGCCGGTGTCCATAAGAGTTTAGCTCCAACCCCAATTAAACGCACCTGAACCAGATAATCAAGCTCTCACTTGGCATACTAGAAACTTAAAGGCAGGTGTGTTGAGGCAGGTTGGAGCTAAACTCTGCAGGACACCGGCCCTCCAGGACCGAGTTTGGGCACCCCTGATCTAAACATTCTGAACATCAAACCAATAGAGAAATAAAGACAACAGAAGACATTTTTTTAATTTAATACTGTAATATATACTCTTTATAAAAAGACATTTGTGACATAAAAATGAAAACACGATATAAACTAAAAATATTTCACACTGGTACAAGTCGAGAGGGAATATGCATAATTTGCACTTTATGCACAACATCTTCATTCTGTTATGGAGCGCACCACATTTATATAGTCATAGATGGTGTTTTAATACAGTGTTAGATCTACTACCTCTCCTTAGGCTTCGCATACTTAGAAGAGCGTGACTGTTGCCATGTTTCTAATAGACAAAGCTGCATTTGAGCCAAACATACATGTGCAATAATCTCAAATCACATGTGTTCAAAGAAATCCACCAACACGGCATATTAAAGATCGGGGAAGTTGATTTTACATGCATGTTTGGCTTTTCATAATTGTGAGCCACACAGCACAAGTCTGATAAAAAGAAGCATTATCCAAACACTTCGAGCTTGAGTAGGACGGAACGAATCAGCGTTCCCACTAACGTATTCCAATTAGAACATATTTCGTTTTCAGGCGTCCTTGTCTTAACTCATGCAGGCAGGAACTGTGACTAAATTACTAAATCTAACATGTGATGAAAAGCCAACCGCAATCCCTTACAATGAATGCGTCAAGCATGTACTTTTCGTAACAATTTACAAAGTCGATTTACGTATGAAGCGGCAAAGAAGCGTTAACGTAAGATAGCATCGTAGCTAACATTTGAGATGAAACACGTTCTTAAAGCGTTTCCCATACGTTAAGCAGCGTGAATCCAATGTGAAAATTAAAAGGTGCTTGTGTGGTATAAAGTGTTTGACAATCGCAGTGTGCATCGTACACACTCGTCCTAGGCGCGTGTGGTTCTAGCTCAGCAGTATAACAGTCAGCTGTCAGAGCTAGCATATAAAACCATAGCTTAGTCTTGCTGGGCCAGTGTTGGAAGGGTAACAAGGCAGTCGTCAGGGACACACAGGAGACTGCTGAAGTAGCGCCGCAGGTAACCGTACACTGGCTTTTTTGCCGCTAACCTCCTTTTGCAAAGCTGGCACGGGAGATAATCTCCTCACCACATTATGTCACGCAGCCCCGGAGGATTACAGACACGCCTGTGAGACGTGACTTTGCAAAGTCCTCTATGGAAGGCCAATGAGACGGGACTTCGCAAAGTCCTCGAGCGTCCCCGCAGGTGCTCAGTCCGGGCCTGGCCTGTCACTTTTATGGGTTTAACATGGCTCAAGAACAGCACAGTGATTTGAAAAGGCAGTTACTATACTAATAGCTAAGGGCTATACTAATAGCTAGGTACGTTCGCAAAGTAACACGACCTGGAGTCAGTGTAGGAAACGAATAACAACCCTCTTGAATTGTGCTCAGGGTGGGATACACCATACCAGAGAGGCCTGGGTCAAGTTTCAGTGGCCTTTTAAGGCCCGAGTCAAGTTTTTGATGGTTCCAACATGGCTCAAGAACAGCACAGTGATTTGAAAAGGCAGTTGTTAAGCTTCGGGCTATACTAATAGCTAAGTAACACGACCTGGAGTCAGTGTAGGAAACGAATCACAACCCTCTTGAATTGTGCTCTGGTAGGGATACACCATACCGAAGAGGCCTGGGTCAAGTTTCAGTGGCCCTTTGTGAGGCCTGAGTCAAGTTTTTGATGGCTCCGAATATAAACTGTGCACAATCAATATGGCATTTCAACGCCAGGAGCGAAATACGTGCATTTTGACAGGAAAAATTGCAAATTCAGTGGGCTTAAACAGGCCATTATCTTCTTAAACAGAACAAGTGATCTGGATTAAAATGATATGGATAATTCTCAAAACCTTTGCACCCTAAACTACTACATTTTGAGTTAAATCAGATTTAAAGGGACAATTTACTCAAAAATAAAAAAATTTACTTTCCCCCCCCCATTTGAACACAAAAGAAAATATTAGAATATTTATAATACCTAAACTAAACATAAAATATTATGATGAATTTGGACTATTTCGAAAAATGTCTTTTTGTAATCAGTAGTGTCCAAATGCTGTTTTGGGCCCCACTGACTTTCACTGTATGAGCAAAAACATTCATCAAAATATTTTATTTTGTGTCTCACTGAAAAACGGGAGTCATACATGTTTGGAACAACATCAGGATGACCACTTTGGCAAATTATGACAATTTTCATTTTTGGGTGAACTGTCCCTTTAAACTATGGTGCGACTCTGTGGCATAATTTAATTTATAACAGAAATTCTTGTCTGACAGCTTGGAAACAAATTGAATACTGAATATGTTGATTGAAATCCACTTACAAAGCAAGTTCATTGAGAAAAATGGAGCTGCATTATAAGCAGGTGACCGTCGACATGCTTTTTGTTTTTTAAAGTACATTTTCTGTTGTAATCAACAGCATGCGATGGAGAATGTTGATGGAGCTTAAGTTATATTTAAACACGCCCGTGAGACGGGACTTCGCAAAGTCCTCGAGCGTCCCCGCAGGCGTCCGGGCCTGGCCTGTCACTTTTAGGGGTTTAACATGGCTCAAGAACAGCACAGTGATTTGAAAAGGCAGTTGTTAAGCTTCGGGCTATACTAATAGCTAAGTAACACGACCTGGAGTCAGTGTAGGAAACGAATAACAACCCTCTTGAATTGTGCTCTGGTAGGGATACACCATACCGAAGAGGCCTGGGTCAAGTTTCAGTGGCCCTTTGTGAGGCCTGAGTCAAGTTTTTGATGGCTCCAAATATAAACTGTGCACAATCAATATGGCATCTCAACGCCAGGAGGGAAATACGTGCATTTTGACAGGAAAAATCGCAAATTCAGTGGGCTTAAACAGGCCATTATCTTCTTAAACAGAACAAGTGATCTGGATTAAAATATGGATCATTCTCAAAACCTTTGCGCCCTAAACTACTACATTTTGAGTTAAATCAGATTTAAAGGGACAATTTACTCAAAAATAAAAATTCTTACTTTTTTCCCCCCATTTGAACACAAAAGAAAATATTAGAATATTTATAATACCTAAACTAAACATAAAATATTATGATGAATTTGGACTATTTCGAAAAATGTCTTTTTGTCATCAGTAGTGTCCAAATGCTGTTTTGGACCCCACTGACTTTCACTGTAAGAGCAAAAACATTCATCAAAATATTTTATTTTGTGTCTCACTGAAAAACGGGAGTCATACATGTTTGGAACAACATCACGATGACCACTTTGGCAAATTATGACCATTTTCATTTTTGGGTGAACTGTCCCTTTAAACTATGGTGCGACTCTGTGGCATAATTTAATTTATAACAGAAATTCTTGTCTGACAGCTTGGAAACAAATTGAATACCGAATATGTTGATTGAAATCCACTTACAAAGCAAGTTCATTGAGAAAAATGGAGCTGCATTATAAGCAGGTGACCGTCGACATGCTTTTTGTTTTTTAAAGTACATTTTCTGTTGTAATCAACAGCATGCGATGGAGAATGTTGATGGAGCTTAAGTTATATTTAACCCAGAACATTCCTTTAAGGCAAAGCTTGATTAGAACTCCAAACGTAACTAATTCTTATGCTGGTAAAGCATAGCAAGTGCAAGTCTGCTACCCCTTGCGTCTAGTCCCTCCTCGCTGACATAGATATAGCGATGTATGAAAGACCGGGTTACATTATTTGGCTGAGGATTTGTCACCTCAAATTGACACTACTGTCATCTCTGCTGCACTAATCCATCATTACACAGGGAATCCCCAGGAAGAGTTTAGAAGAGGACAAAAAATGAAAGGGTGAGCTGTAGAAGGAAGGCAGATGGGTAACAGTTATTGCGGTAAGCTCAGGATGAAGCGGATCACCTGTTTTCAGCTTGAGAGTGCAAAATGTTCAGGTAGGAAATAATATAATACATATCAATCGTCATCAAGTAACTTTTTGCAATGCAAGTCTCCGCAGACACACCACACAAACGACCGTCCCGATCCAATCAGTTCATTGGGGGTGTGTCTAGTGTCATGTCCTGAATGATGAAAAAGTCTTGATTTCAGTGAAAGTTCATGAATATCACCACAGAGACTGTTTAATTTTTTTTTTTAAAAACCCGCCACCCTTGTCAAAACCAAAGGACAGGGTGTCCGGGAAGTTGATCTTGTCCTATAATTATTCCCAAACGTTTCCATGCTAATCCCAGAGCTGTGAGAAAAACAGAGATCTTTTTCATGCCTGTGGGTTGCGTCAGCTTATTGTGAAAATGACTGGAAATTATTATTGAAAAAAGCATCCAGTTTCTCAGTTACTTTTATGTGTGTGTGTGTTGTTTGTAAAGATCAGGAGGGGGTCATAAGGCCACCATGGTGCAGGGGTGTTTGAGTTTGCAGGGCAGGATGCCCCTGTTGAGCTGGTAGAACTCTACCAGATGGATCAGGTCTGTGAACTTGGTAGAGCTGTCATCAAGGCTAAAAAAGACCTGGCCGTCCTCCTCAAACTGCCAGAGAGAAAGAGGTGAAAATAAAACAGATTTTTAAATCAGTCAATCAATTTTTAAATCGCTTAACGCAAGTCTCCGCAGACACACCACACAAAACGACCGTCCCGATCCAATCAGTTCATTGGGGGTGTGTCTAGTGTCATGTCCTGAATGATGAAAAAGTCTTGATTTCAGTGAAAGTTCATGAATATCACCACAGAGACTGTTTAATTTTTTTTTTTTAAAAACCCGCCACCCTTGTCAAAACCAAAGGACAGGGTGTCCGGGAAGTTGATCTTGTCCTATTATTATTCCCAAACGTTTCCATGCTAATCCCAGAGCTGTGAGAAAAACAGAGATCTTTTTCATGCCTGTGGGTTGCGTCAGCTTATTGTGAAAATGACTGGAAATTATTATTGAAAAAAGCATCCAGTTTCTCAGTTACTTTTATGTGTGTGTGTGTTGTTTGTAAAGATCAGGAGGGGGTCATAAGGCCACCATGGTGCAGGGGTGTTTGAGTTTGCAGGGCAGGATGCCCCTGTTGAGCTGGTAGAACTCTACCAGATGGATCAGGTCTGTGAACTTGGTAGAGCTGTCATCAAGGCTAAAAATTAATACATGCAAAAGGGCAGTTTGTATTGAGTGTTTATTAGGGACTCACAGGTAAAATCTGGAAGTGTTTAATCTTCTGATGATGGCACAGCGTGAGAACAAATGCTTTTGGGTTGCTCTGGCTGTCTCTCAATAGGAATAACCTGCGAGACAAAACACTGATTAATTTCACTACCCCCTTATAAAACAGCAATTATTACTGACTATAAATGTGGAAAACGTCATACCCATCAACTTGGCCCTGCTGCATAATCATCCTGTGGGACTCCTCTCTCATAATTCGGCCATGGAACCATAACTGCGTCCTGTGGATCACTGGGGACATAAACGCAAAGTCCACATTTACTGGCATGAAATATTGTTATATCTATTGAAGTACCACTTAAATCAACTGGTGTTGAAGGTGCTAAACAGTAAGTAAATGCTGAGACACTCACCTGAGCTTAACGGTGAAGGATGTATAGGACTGGGGCTTCCCAAAACATTAATTCTCTGACCCCGTTTCTGTACAGAGATTTAAAAAATTGTTATAAATGCATAAAAAAAACCTTAAAACCCCTAATTCATTATCCAAGTATACATGTATTGAACTACTCACTCTCCAAGTGAGTCCCTCTTCCATGGCAGCGCTCTGAGCCTCCACAGGGTTGTCAATCACACGACCCGTCCTTCCTGAGAAATCCATGGCCACCAGCGAATTCTCGGACACACTCCGCTATAATAAAAATAATATTACACTTATTTAGCTCAGCTGTTTATTACAAAACAAGCGTTCATTTACATGTAGAAATAACTAAAGACATAACAGACACACAAATCCTACATGTCCTCAACAACAACCTGCTATGATCAGCATTAATCCTCTCTAATTAAACCACTAAAGCCTTATTAAATACCTTCTAAATTAATCCCTACAGGAACCCCTATGTTCATACTTTTCCCCTGCAGGAAAGTTCCCAATGCAAATCGGCGTAAAGGAATCTATAGCCACACGCTTCATTAGCACGCTGTTCATACTGTTATGAGCAGATTAAGTGAACTCTCAGCAACACAGGGTGCATGTAATACCAGGTGAACTCACAGAAGCGTGAAAACAGCACATTTAACCCATCGAGTGCACTAGAGGAACATGTTAATGTGTTTCTTACCACAGGTGTGGTGAAGTTTGATATGGCAGCCTTTCTCTGGTGTGGGCTCTTGTAGTTCTGATATAGGAGAATTCCAAACTAGAAAGAAAAGAGTGTGTTTGTCTGAGTTAATAAGAATGGACAAGAGTGTATGTGGAAGATATCTGACGGACAGCTTGTTCACCACAAATCTGTAGTAGCTAAATAATAATCATTTTATATACTTGTATAATAAGTTTCCTAGCAAACAACAAAAAAAGTAAACAAAATAAAACATTTAATCTGGTGCGTGCTGAAATAAACTTGTGAAGAAATAATCTAACAAAAGGCTCACTTATAGTTGTCTAGTACAGTGTTTCCCAACCGGGGTGCCGTCTGTCGAGAGCAGGGGTGCCGTGTAAAAAATAATTTTTTTATATTTTTAAATTGCTAAAATGTTCAAAAAAGCATCTATTATATAATATCCATTTCTGATGTCGCCAATAATTAGAGATGCACTGAAATTTCGGCTGCCGAAAATTAGTTCACCGCTCAGGTTTCACTTTCACGTGGTGTGACGCTCTGCGTATTATCCGTTATCCCGCTCTATGCGTGTGCGCGCCGCTCAGTCGCTCCTCTCGTATAGCGTTCATGCTCATCGGAACAGCAAAGTCCACTCAAAAATTGAGCCGACAGGAAACATCGATGTAGTACAGTATTGTTTCTGTCTGCAATAGCCCTACTGTGTTGTAACATGGTGTGGTATATGGGCAACTCTGGTAACGCTGCCCTCTCATTCATTGATCTGCTAACTGCTATGTTATGCTCACGTGTTCTGATAATAATAGCTTTCTAGGACTAAACATTATTTGGATAATTGGTAAAAAAAAAAAAAAAAAGTTAAATATCTTAACCCTACTGTTAAACCTACCTGAAAAACTAAAAAGCAATTTATTTAATTCGTAGGCCTGTCGTTATTTTTTATTTGTGCTATCATTATTAATTTCTTTATTTGTTCTTATTTTATTACTGATTTTTAAAAAATTTTATTCAATTCAAAGTTTAAAATTAAGCTATATCGTGCTGTAAAAAAAAAAAAAGTGAGATAGCTAGTTATAATGGTAATTAAATAATGTGTACATATGAATAAAAGCCTACATTAAAATCTGTCATATAAATTGATCTCTTCATTAGAAATGAGCCTACTGATTGGACAACATTTTTTAATAATATAAAAAATATCTGTATGACATTATATTCTGCAGTTCTTCCCTGTTGTGCCGAATATCTATACTTTTCAAATTATCATATCGAAATGAGAAATTCAAATATTGTGACAAAATTAATTTTGTAGGGTGCCACAAGTTTGTTAAAATTTCCAAAGGGTGCCGCGACTAAAAAAAGGTTGGGAATCACTGGTCTAGTACACTGCCGTTCAAAGGTTTGAGTCCGTAATATAAGCCAGGATGCATTAAGTTGTCCAAAACTGACAGTAAAGACATTTATAATATTACAAAACAATCTATTTCAAATAAATGAATTAACTTTTTTCTTCATCAGAGAATGCTGAAAAAACTGTACCATGATTTCCATAAAATATTAAGCAGATACTGAAGACTTGATTATTGGCTGCTGAAAATTCAGCTTTACTATCATAGGAATAAATTGGATTTTAAAATATATTAAAACAGAAACAAGTTATTTAAATTGTAATAATATGTAATTTCCAAAAAATGACATGTATACACACTGCATACATACATATATACACATATAAAACATTAAAATTAGAATATTTAAGTATAAAATAGAAAGCAAATTCTATAATCTCTCTATAAAAATACTTAATAAATGATTTGCTGTGTGTGTATATATATATATTAAAACATGAATTTAATATAATAAGATTTATATATTCATGCTCTAATACTTGTTTTTAATAATCCAAATCTGTCAAAAATATGCAGTAATTTGTTAAAACATTTAAATGTTATATTTAAATTCATGCATTTGGCAGAAGCTTTTATCCAAAGTGTCTTACGATGAATTCAAGCTATCATTTTTTTTCATTATGCATGATCCCTGGGAATCAACCCATGACCTTGGTGTTGCTCTACCAGTTAAACGGCAAGAACAGACATGTTGAAAATTGTCAAATGGAATATTTCAATATCCAGCACAACGTGATGCCCTATAATGAGAAAACGAGCCAAATTAACCATACACTATAATGTCTATGCTTCTTAAGTATAGCAGTACTCGTATGTCAAAGACATCAAAGCACTGTCTCAAACCCCATCTAATGTATCTGTTGTGCATCTGATCCCTCATCCTCTAATTCACTCCTCCGAGAAGAGCACAAGAGAAGGAGAGAGAGCATGACTGTGTATGAAAGAGAAAGCGAGGGAAAGTGAGAGGCATTGCAGAGGGATGAGGTCATGTATTTAGCTTGATTGCACAGAGGGCAGCAAAGTCAGCAGAGTCTCTCTGCTAATGGCTTACGTAAGAGCAACGTTTCCAGAAGGTTTCCATAAAGTTGACGCTCTAACTACACCACATAATATTTGGTCTCTCCAGAGATGTCAGCTCACCAAAACAGACTACACCCTCATCATACCATGTGATCTGCACAATCAGCGTCTATGCAAAAGTCACGACTTTCCTTGATGGCTTTAAAGTGGACGAATTCAAATAAAGAGCTGATTGTGTCGGCCCGAATTATTTCAGAAGCTCAATAAAGGGCTTTTTTAACACCCTGCAAGAGCAATGTCTGCATCTCTAAAGGTCAGGCAGAGTTAAATCTGTTTAGTATGATTTAGACAAGGGTTAATCTGTAATCTGCCTGAGAAATAGGCAGCCACACGTGTCCTCAGTGCGAGATTAAGCACTAGTTCTTCGCAAACCTTGTCTTTTCTATGCTCATCTCAAAACTATCTGCATTGTGAACGCTTTTTCTTTCCTTCAGGTTAGACACTCTACGAGCGGTTGCGCATACAAAATGTGCAGCCGTGCATGAGGTATAAAGTCGTTTTTGAGAGCTTAAGTGTTAATAGGAGAACAAATATGTATGTTTATATAAGACTCTGAATCTGGGCTTGCTGAAAGGTGATTTCCTGTTACACGAAGTGCAGTGCACTGGGAACCCAGTGTCCCCGGACAGAACACCGTGTCCTCTTAGACTGGGTTGTGTGCCACGCGCACAAGTCATACGGATGCAGAAAATGAATGTACACGTATGCTGGCTTACCCAGACCAAGCAGGGAATGATGCTCCACTAGCGACCAGCAGTTGTCATCCAGGCAGTGGTTCTTGTAGACCAGGAACTGACACACATCTCTGGCCGTCATGTTGGCGGGGACTTCCACAACTTTTCCCACACCATCCTCGCTGAAAACCTTGATGATCTGTTGAAGACACACACAGAATGTAAATATATATGACCTCAAGGCGATGTTCTCAATGAGTCTAATTTGTCGAAAAAATTACAGACACACTTTCGCACAATGCTCCAGACTTGGATCATTTCACAGCTTGTGTTTCGACATCTTAGCCTTGTAATGGTCCTGTGTGAACCATCTAAACTAAACGTATGTGATTCAAATACAAACTTTTCAGTTAGCGAAGAATAAAAATTATGCTTGATGAAAAATGTACACTTCTTGTTCAAGTTTTTGTTGTTGCAAACCATGCATATCTCTGTTTATGTGGTCCTTAGCTCAATGGAGCTCATTAGCATGACTGACTTGAACACGCACGCACAAGAGGATATACTCCATTAAGAGGCAGAATTCACGTGAACGCCAAAGCCAACGGCCCAGATAAAGAGAAAGGAACAGAAAAGGGAGAAATTCTTCCAATGAACGTGCGCACAAAACAAGAAATGATTTAAATGCATTTACATGTGCAAGTGCACAACTAGATATATGCATTCATGCACAAAAGCAAACATTTGATTATTATAGACACTTTTTTTTTTACAAACTACAAGCACAGAAGCAGGGAACAGTAGCGTGCAATTTATGCACAAAGATGATCTGCATGACTCAATTTTAAATGTTTTTAGACCAGCAGCTGCAAAGATGTGTATGGTTTTCTTAGAGAAAGTAGTTACTATCAGTCTTACCTCTACAGCCTGATATAAGCAACAGTCCGGCGAACACGATGGCATTTTCACTCTGAGACAACCTCTGCTCATTCACGCGATGAGAGTGAGCGAATGAGTGAGTTAGAGAGAGAGAGAGAGAGAGAGAGAGAGAGAGAGAGAGAGAAAGAAAGAGGGAGGGCAAGGGGAGGAGGAAAGAAAGTGAGAGGATGAGAGGAGTTGAGAATGGGCAGAGGGTTGAGATTAGACCAAGAGTTGCTGAAACAAGAGAGGGAGAGAGAGAGAGAGAGAGAGAGAAAGAGAAAAGAAGGGAGAGAGACTCAGCTGACAAGCAGCTTGTGTCTTACAATACTCTAGTGGATTAAGCTGCGAGAAAAAGACGGAGAGAGATGAGTACGTTTTCAATTTGTCAATAAAATTCATATAATGGGTATCCCAAACATAACTTTTTTTCTTCCATGGAACAAAAGAGATTACATGGGAGAGGACAGACTCAAAGAAAACAAATTGGGAATTGCTGTCAAATCTTATTCAAATATAGCTGACGTCAATGATGGCAAACATCATAGATAATGTGTAAAATATTAATATATATATATATATATATATATATATATATATATATATATATATATATAACAAT